CCCTCCTGGCCCCCTCCTAGACCCTCCTGGCCCCCTCCTGGTTCCCTCCTGGCCCCTTCTGCCCCCTACTGGCCCCTCCTGGCTCCTGGTACATTTGGTCTAGCGAGGTGGTACATTTGGGCAAAAATGGCCGCTCCCAGACTCAGTTATCGCAACGTAAATTTTTGTTTTTATTTTTTAACTGATTAACTCTAAATTCATTAAATTACTGCAAACCAATTAGTTTTCGTTATAAATAATGATCAGTTGATTATTCCTCGCTGACCGAACTTTTCCTTTAAAAGCAAACAGTGGATTTTCTCCAGTGTGAAATTAATAAAGTTAAATTATTATTATTCAGTCATCATGTGTGACAGGATGCGGCGTCATGATCTAAAGCCTTCAGCATCCAGCAGACGCCGCGCTGCCGTCCTCCTGATCCAAAGTGTTTATCAGTAAACAGGTCAGAGTTCATCCCAGCTGGTCTGCAGCCGCTCACATCAAACTGAAATTCTTAGATTCTCCGTCCTCCTCCATGGACCCAGACCCCCCCCCAATGTTCATTACATCCCTCTGTGGTCATAATGTTCTGGCTGATGAGCAGACACGCAGTGAGACGGGTGCTGCAGTAACGTCATCATCATCAATACTCACAAACAAACATGGCAGCTTCATTCCAGACCCAGCAGCTCCACATCGAAGACCAGCGTGGCGTTGGGGGGGATGATGCCCGGGTGGCCTTTGTTTCCGTAAGCGTAGTCTGGGGAGCAGGTCAGCTTGGCCCTCTGACCCACACTCATCTGGACGCAGACAGAGAGAGGAGTTAATGGCGTCACAGAGCTGCCAGCCGGCGGCCTCATAACGCCGCTTCGTCGGCTGGAGGGAGACGAGATCTCTCAGGAGGCAGAGCAAAGGAAAACATCTTGATTGGTTAATGATGTTTCAGTTTTACTCCATCAGCCTCACTGAGCTTCCAGCCTGAGTGCTCGTCCCAGCAGCCATCAGCGAGGCAGCAAACATTTCCTGAAATTACCCGCAGTGGTTTCAGGAAGTGGGCAGCAGAGGCAACCGTTGCTGTGATGAAATGTGAGGCTTGGATCCAGCTGTTTTTGCCAAGAGTTCACAGTGAATGGAGAGCTTTTCTTATGAAAGCTGCACCATGAAATATTAATAAAGACGTCCCAGAACCTGAATGAGGGCTGCTTCAGCTGGAAGGAGATGCTTCCTGCAGGCTTTAACATCAGGCAGGGAGCTGCAGCAAACTGGATCAGCAGCAGGATCACTTTGGGCCTGATGCTGATTCGCACTCATCAAACCTGGCTTGGGTCTGGTCACAAACCAGTTTTGCTGGTGTGCTTCTCCACCGTCGGTCTGCAATTTCTAGGGACGCACACCAGTCTCCCCCCAAAGTGCAAGGGGGAGCCTATTCAAGAAGTCGCAAGAATTTCGGTGGCGCCGGCGGGGGTGTTTATCTTCCAAAACGACACTGGAGCGTCTGCAAGATATCAGGGTCACGGAAATAAATCTGGAGCTGCTAGGCCAAGAGGAACAGGTTCTGTTAATGGAGTTGGCAAAAAGACCCATAAACCTTTCGTCTGTTTTTTTTAAATGGCGTTCCCCGGCACCTAATCGTGAAGGACGACCAAACAGACAGCCGCAAAGGCACACCAAGGACCAATCACAGCTGCTTTTTGTCTGCGCACTTCCCCTTGAGGTCTGCGCAGGTTTGCGACAGTCCGACGCGTAGTCAGGATTTTTTTGAAGTGCGTAACGACGGTTGCAGAACTTCTGCGCGGGGGGCGTGGTCACGCACAGAGACAGATTTTTTGGGTTGCAGAGGCTATGAGTCAGAAGCATAAATTGGCCTTAAGGCTGATTTATACTCAGAAACCAGGTGGTCTGCGTGTGTCGCATTTAACGCAGATATGCCCTGCCCCCTCCGCAGACACTCTGCTGCACCTCTCCAAAGCTGTAGGTGACCGCAGACAGGAGGCCTCTGATTGGTCAATTCCTACATCCTCTGTTCTCTATGCGTATTTCCTGTTTGGTTCCTTACCGGCTTGTTTTGTTTGTCTGACCTCCATTGTGGAAAATGACTGGTGAAGATGGAGCAGCTAGCAGAGCGAGGTGAGAACGCTGGGACCCTTTTCCACCTGGATTCCCGCTCTTTTTGGCCCTCATGTCCCTCCGCTGTTTTTCCTCGGCCATATCTAGACCCACAGCTGGTTCCTGATTGGCCCTCTGGCGTTGTGGCGTGGAATAGCATAGCGCAGACCACGCTTCAATGTTGGGCATAAATCAAAAATGTCTGCATCAAGCTGCTGCAGGATAACCAGGCCTTTACTGTCTATCCATCATTGCTGCGGTAAAAGCAAACACAGCGATGGCGACATTTATCGACTCCTGTGCTGTAAACTAAAGTTCATTCAGTAGAGGGAAACATTGAAGCCTTCAGGGGCTCAGATTGAGCTTTTGGTCAATTAAACACTCAGCATGTATGTAGACAGGTACCCATAGGTATCACCACTGTAAACATAGAGGAAGGTCAGTGATGCTGCGGGCCTGTTTCTCTACTGAAGGCTTTGGAAACCAGAGCGTCTTTAAAAATAAACTAATCACCAAAAATCTGGTCCTTATTTGATCTTTCTGGAACTCAATGATTAGAAAAAATTAAACTAAATTAGAACTAAAATAAAAACAGAAATAAAGACGGTCATCTCAGTCCACAAAGGATCTGGACGTTTTTGTAAACAGAAATGAGACTCAAATGGTCTTATTAGTCCATCAGGTCGGTACCCAGCAGCCTACCTGCACCACACCTTCCTCCCAGCCTCGGATCACTTCCTGCTTGCCGACCTTGAACCTGAACGGCTTGTCCCTGTCACGGGATGAGTCAAACTTCCGTCCGTCTGTCAAGGAGCCTTTGGGAAGAGCAGCAGCACAGAGGAGGAAATCTGTTAGACAAACCAGCAGCTCATTTCCTTCTGATGGTTTCTAACATTTAGCTATAAGAACTGAAATTTACCATCTAGTCTTCTGGCAAAAAAATATGTAACATTGAAGAAATGTGGCTGCATGGTACTGCAGCTGGTAGCACAGCTGCTTTGCAGCTAAAAGGTTTTGGGTTTGATTCCCGACTCTGTTTTTTTCTATCTGGAGTTTGCATATTGTGCCTGTACATTTCTGGGTACTCTGACTTCTTCCTGTTGTTCCAAAACATGACTGTTAGGTGTGTGAGTGCATGGTCCTGTCTCTCTGTTGCCCTGCGACAGCCTGGCGACCTGTGGACCCTCTTTTACCCACATACTGCTGGAGATGGCTCCAGCTGCACCATGACCCT